GGATACTATCGATAGTACCGCCACTCGATAGTTTTCGAAACGATAGTTGAAAATATCGATAGTATCGATAGTTCTATCGTCGTGAGTGGTATTGGATTGAAATGCTAAATTGCTTGAAAATTAAATAATTAATAAATTTATAAAATTTATAAATTTCTTTGTAAATTAAAGAGATCATATAAATTATTTAAATTTGAGCGCATCATAAATCACTTCTTATATTAATAAAATAAACTCAAACTCCTCCCACTAGAAAGAGGACAGGCCCAGCTTTCTAAAAAGGCGTACCCCCTTGGGCTCCTCCCACAGGCCCCTAGGGAACCGTTTGAATAAGGGGGGAAACGGAATTTTCTTAGGCAAACTGAGCAGTTTGAAGTGGAATATGACCCAACTAACAGAAACCGTGGGATTTTTTAATAAAAGAAATTATGCCAAATTAAATATCGGTCGATTTTGAATAAAGAATAAAAAAGTTAATCAAAAATATAAAAAACAAGTTTTTATAAAAAAAAATGTTTTTTTTTAACAAATGTATTCTTGCGTAGAATTCATTTTTGCGTAGGCGGCCTTCGGCCGCACTTAGGGATTATAACCCTCCGGCAGTAGAATTCTCCTTTCTGTGTTGCCAAAGAAGGGGGGCTGAACACCTTTTGCAGAGAACACCTTTCTGCGTAGGCGGCCTTCGGCCGCACTTAGGGATCATAACCCTCAGGCATTAGAATTCTCCTTTCTGTTTTGCGAAGAAAAGGAGCTGAACACCTTTTCAGAGAACACCTTTGTATATTTTTAATGCTTACTGGGTTATATCCTATCTTCTTTTGTCTCTCATTCTTTTGCATATTTTGGAGTTTGACAACTGAACTCCGCCATTTAATTTGCATATGCAACCAAAGTCAGACGCGTGATTTTGAAGGTATTTTTATTTAATGAATTGTGATTAATTGGTTAATATTAAAGTCGTAAAGCAAGTTATAACTAATCGAGTAAAGTGTAAAGTGAAGGGGAATACAAAAATATATTGGTAAAATGGCTGCTTTAAGGAGAATAGGATTGATAAATGTACGCTAATTTCCGAATTTTACAAAAAAGGGCATATTTCAAACCCAATTTGTAAATAAATTAGTGACCAAGGTAGTAGTGCACTTTGGCGAAGGTAGGTCAAAATGGACGGAAAGTTGTTTTTGTCACTTAAATGCAAACTCTTGGAAACTGAATTTTTGTTTCACAAATTTGATTTTAAGAATATAATACATTCACTATTCTTTAAAAGCACCAAGTGATGCAGACAACATGTATACACAAAACAGCTGATATGCACTTTGACGCTTTATCCATTTTTACCCGGAGAAAAAGTCCGAGCTGTTTCGGGCAGGAAGAAGAAGAAACTTACGATCCAATACGTTCCAATTTTCGCTCTCTATTACCCATTTTGTTGAGTACGGGAATGATTTCTGGGCTATTTTGGGCACCCGCGGGATCCCGCGTTGCGTACGGGAAAGAACCTAAAGTCCGGGCTGTTTTGGGCAGGAAGAAGAAGACACTTACGATCCAAAACATTCAAATTTTCGCTCTCTATTACCCATTTTGTTGAGTACGGCAATGATTTCTGCGCTATTTTGGGCACCCGCGGGATAACGCGTTGCGTACGGGAAAGAACCTATTGCAGCTTGACATGCCTGTAGCTCAGCTGTTTTTACACATGATGAAATAATACAAGGTGGTATCAGTTGGGACAGCTCGATTTGACACTGCCTTAGCTCAGTAGAATAAGAAGAAAAACGGGAAGAAATTAATCCCCATTTGGGGGAAATATATAAATTTTCATATTTTCTTCTAAACAAAATTTGCTTTTTTTATAGTATATTCGCAATGAAATGAAATAAAATAAGATATAAAACCTTTTTGAGAAAACAAAATGTGTATACTGAGAGAAAAAAAAATTCAACCATATTATTAGGCAAAGAATTGTTAAAGAAGTAACACTGTTTCAGCTAACAGGCTAACCTAATATTCGCGGCTTGCGTTTTGGTACGCACGCCGTCGAATTTGTTTTTTTGCGTCACCCGAAATTGGCTTGCGTGCGTTTGCATTTGATTTCATTGAGCGAAACGTCAAATCAAAATGTCACGCAGAACAAAAATTGGAAATTGAGTTAGCTTCATACGCACGCCGTTCAATTTCGGTTGGTCCTATACAAGTTGTATCTGCATGAGAAATTTTTGACAGTAAATTGGCGGCGTGCGTGAATATTAGGTTAGCCTGTAAGGCAGTCAATATGGCGGAATTGGAGCGAGAAGTTGCCAACTGATAACACCTTGTATTAGGTTTGTTCCACACGAGCCCGCGGGTACCCACGGGTGCCCAAAGCAGCAGAGAAAGCGTTCCTCGCGCTAGAAAAATGGGTAATAGAGAGCGAATACGTTCCACTTTTGGATCGTAAATATCTTCTTCTTTGTGCACGAAACAGCCCGGACTTTTTTTCCGGGCACAAATGTGCAAAAGGGCAATTTGAAATAACTGCTGTTGTTGTTTAAATCCGAAAGCAAATTTTATAAAAACAAAAGTGCAAAATATCACAGAATTTTCAGAAAATGTAGTTATTTGGTAATTTTATTAGCCATATAAGATAAATACACGTAAAATCATTGTTTAGAGCTGATATGTTGATTCCGGGCACGAAATGTGGTTTTTTGCGTTCCTCACGCTATGGGCACTTTTGGCACATTTTTGACACTTGTGTGAGAGTAACTTATTTTTACTCTCTAATTACCGGAGCAGCCCGGAAAGCGTGGGGAACGAAGCTATTATTGCATCATGGTTTTTGCACAGTGCCTATTTACGGTAGAGCTGGGATACTATCGATAGTACCGCCACTCGATAGTTTTCGAAACGATAGTTGAAAATATCGATAGTATCGATAGTTCTATCGTCGTGAGTGGTATTGGATTGAAATGCTAAATTGCTTGAAAATTAAATAATTAATAAATTTATAAAATTTATAAATTTCTTTGTAAATTAAAGAGATCATATAAATTATTTAAATTTGAGCGCATCATAAATCACTTCTTATATTAATAAAATAAACTCAAACTCCTCCCACTAGAAAGAGGACAGGCCCAGCTTTCTAAAAAGGCGTACCCCCTTGGGCTCCTCCCACAGGCCCCTAGGGAACCGTTTGAATAAGGGGGGAAACGGAATTTTCTTAGGCAAACTGAGCAGTTTGAAGTGGAATATGACCCAACTAACAGAAACCGTGGGATTTTTTAATAAAAGAAATTATGCCAAATTAAATATCGGTCGATTTTGAATAAAGAATAAAAAAGTTAATCAAAAATATAAAAAACAAGTTTTTATAAAAAAAAATGTTTTTTTTTAACAAATGTATTCTTGCGTAGAATTCATTTTTGCGTAGGCGGCCTTCGGCCGCACTTAGGGATTATAACCCTCCGGCAGTAGAATTCTCCTTTCTGTGTTGCCAAAGAAGGGGGGCTGAACACCTTTTGCAGAGAACACCTTTCTGCGTAGGCGGCCTTCGGCCGCACTTAGGGATCATAACCCTCAGGCATTAGAATTCTCCTTTCTGTTTTGCGAAGAAAAGGAGCTGAACACCTTTTCAGAGAACACCTTTGTATATTTTTAATGCTTACTGGGTTATATCCTATCTTCTTTTGTCTCTCATTCTTTTGCATATTTTGGAGTTTGACAACTGAACTCCGCCATTTAATTTGCATATGCAACCAAAGTCAGACGCGTGATTTTGAAGGTATTTTTATTTAATGAATTGTGATTAATTGGTTAATATTAAAGTCGTAAAGCAAGTTATAACTAATCGAGTAAAGTGTAAAGTGAAGGGGAATACAAAAATATATTGGTAAAATGGCTGCTTTAAGGAGAATAGGATTGATAAATGTACGCTAATTTCCGAATTTTACAAAAAAGGGCATATTTCAAACCCAATTTGTAAATAA